GGGAAAATTCCGCCCTCAATAACAAAGGCAAATAGTGCAAAAACAAAGAAAAGAAAATTTAAAACTCCAGGAAAAACATAAAGATGGAGAAGAAAGGAAATATACAAGCATGCTCCTTAACTCAGCAATGAACAATATACAAACGGTTATAGTAATTCTTCAGCTTTAGATTTCTTTTTCTTTTTGCTGTGCTGGCCGGAACTTCCAATACAACAGTGAACAAAAGCAGTAATAGTGGCAACCTTGCTTGTTCCTGACTTTAAAGAGAATAGTTTGAATGTGCACCATCAAATATGAATGCTAGCTGAAGCAGTGGTGGGAACGGTGAAATCTGAATCCTCACAGAACCTCTGATCCTATTCTTCTTGGAACTAAACAGTAGTTTTCATGCTTCAACCATACCAGGACTCCACATCGCCTACAGGAGAAAGTTCAAGCCTTTTAAAAGCCCAGCATTCAAGGCTTCTCGCTCTTTCCCAATCTTGAGTCTTCAGGGTTCACCCACTCATCCCATTCCAAATGTCTGGACATTCCAGAACACACCCTTGATGATATCTTGAATTCTATCGTAGAATATTTATTCCATGGTGTCATGCCTGCCTGCCTTTGTATACGCTCTTCTCTTTGCCTGGATACCCTTCCTCTCATGTACTCCCACTCACCTCTCAAAGGCAAACTCACCTCTGCAAGGAAGCTGTCCTCTCACCCTCTCCAGCACTTAGTAAAAGATTCATTTATAGTTTGGGGCTCAGGGCCTAACAAATACTAGAGTCTTTAAGTGTCTGTTGAATAAACACATAAATGAACCTCTGAATAAGACTCTAGGTCACCAAAAAGGAAAAGTTCTGTTCTTCCACCAAACCCACACTGTGCCATTGCTTCAGCCTCCAAACTCCCACACATGTTCAGAAATGTTGTCTTCTGCCTTTATACTTGATCAACAGTTTGGCTGAAAATAAAATTCTTGGACTTTCTCTCCTTGCTGACTTTGTAGGTGGTGCTCTATTGAATTCTAATGCTGGCTGCTGCCACAAAGAAGTCAGAGGCCAGCCTGGTATCTTCCCCTTGCAAGTGACTTGATCCGTTTTGTCCAAAGGATTCTTTCTTTGAGATCTAATAACTTTATTAGAATATATTTGGTATTGATCATTTTGAGTCAGTTTTCCTGGGTCTCATTAACTTTTCTTTTCTTTTTTTTTTAATTTTTAATTTATTTATTTTTTTCCCCCAAAGCCCCAATAGATAGTTGCATGCCATAGCTGCACATCCCTCCAGCTGCTGCACGTGGGATGTGGCTCCAGCACAGCCGGAGAAGCGGTGCATCGGTGCGCGCCCGGGATCCGAACCAGGGCCGCCAGCAATGGAGCACGCGCACCCAACCGCTAAGCCACGGGGCCAGCCCTCATTAACTTTTCAATGTCTCCTTTTTTTCTAAATCATTTTCTTGAGTTATATCTGAGAATATGTGTTTGATGCCATCATTTTGGTTTACTTCTTCTGTTACGTGTATATGGTCTCTCTTTGTAATTTTCTCTTGTCATTTAAACTTAAAAAAAAAATCTTTTTGGGGCCGGCCTGGTGATGCAGTGGTTAAGTGAGCGTGCTCTGCTGCGGTCGCCCAGGGTTCACTGGTTCGGATCCTGGGTGTGCACTGACGGACCACTTGGCAAGCCATGCTGTGGTGGCATCCCATATAAAGTGGAGGAAGATGGGCACGGATGTTAGCCCAAGGCCAGTCTTCCTCAGCAAAAAGAGGAGGATTGGCAGATGTCAGCTCAGGACTGATCTTCCTCACACACACACAAAAAAAGATTAAAAAAAAATCTTTTTGTTTCATCTTCCTCACTTCCCTCATTTCTATCCCCCCCCGTCCCTTAACATGCTTCAGCAGAGTCTGTTCTCTTTTATGCTATTTTCACGTTGACTTTCATTTCTGCCATATTGTAACTTTTCTTAGCCCTGACAGCTTGTTTTATTTCCTTTTGTCATCTTGCTATTATTTCCATGAGCTCTTGTATCTCTTCTCTGTACTCTTGTTTTAGAGAAATAAATGCTTCATTGAGGATTTTTGTTTGGTTTTGTTTTTATTCTGGTCAATGTTCTTTGGTTTTTGTTTATTTCATTTTTCTTTTCATTTCTTTGCTTGTTATTGTGCTCTTTTTGTTTCCTGTATCTGTGTACAGATCTTGAGATGGTTCGTTGTTGATTACTGATATTTGAACGATATAAATTTTCCCTGGACCAGCTATTTGCAAGAGGTTCTTGTTGGGGAAGGGCCAGAGCTATTTCAGGACAGCAGGAATTAGTCTTATGACCCAGGGGTGTATATGAGTTCTTTGAGCCTTTACTTCTCCTTCACTAATGACGATAGGGCTTTTCACAGTTCAGAGTCCTTCTCCTCCCCCAAACCTTATTTGTCTGTGTGTAATTCTAAACTCAGCCTCAATTCCCCTGTTTCGTGAAACCCAAACAGGTCCAGGGAAGCTCCTGATGCTGGCCGCTGCCCACCCCATGTATGCCGTTTCCCTTGCGGGGTGCTTCTTACCATCTCGCTCTGAGATATGAATTCTCTACTTCCTCCTGAACTCCTTTCCAAGCCTTCCAGATTTTATCTGCCCTTCCACCTAATTGTGATTCGATTTCAGATTTCTTCTGTCTTCCTCGAAGATGGGCTTTGTATCTTTTCCCCCCTTCTTGTTGCTTTCTGAGAGGAGAAGTGGGAAAGTATTTTCTTTAGCATATGCAAACAAGATATTCCAACTATGTCATGAATGCATCCACTTCTCTCCTCTTCAGTGGATTTCCATTATGCCTAAATTAACGAGCAACTGCTCATCATGGCCTACAGTTCTGTTGACCTCTCTGGCCTCATTTTCATTGCACTCCACTCTGGCCACAGTCACCTCTTCCGTTTCATTTCCTTGAAAGCCCAAGATCTCCCTGCCTCAGGGCTTTTACTCTCACTTCCCCCTTTTCCTTCTGCTCTTTGCCTGGCTGACTCCTACTCATCCTCTGGATCGCAGCTGAAAAAGTCACCTCCCCAGGGAGACCTTCTTGGCTCCCCAGCCAAGGTTCTACAACCCTGTCAAATGCTCCAGGACTCTGTACCTTTCCTTCTGGTGCACAGAGTCAGGACACATTGTAATCTTTCCCCCACGTTGCTCTAATTCCATCCAAGAAATGACACTGGGTACTTCATCAGCCCATGAGGTCTTGTTCAGGGTGAGAGCACAATTTCTGTCTGGCCTTTTGAAATACCAACAATAGTACCTGGATCCCCACTGAAGAGGTACCCAGAGTTCCTGGGGTGAAATGAGGGTCTTAGTGTGGAAATGCCAGGTGCCTCTCCAGGGATTTTGAATCCCATGTAGAGGGACAGAAGATTCAGCAGGGTTGTTTCCTGGTATTGTTTGGGCAAAACCATGAGCGTCGGCCAATGGCAGGGTGGGGCTCTGGTCCGTGGAGCTCTCTGGAGGGACAGGGGCTAAACTGCCTTCCGGAGACAGCTTTGGTTGTTCTTTTAATTGTGTTTTGATTGCACAAATGACATTTAAACAGCACTAAAGGCAATGTTGAAAAAGAAAGAAAAGCCACTGGACCCTGTCCATCCAACACATCTGATATGTTGGAAAGAGGACTGGACTTGGAGTCCAACACACCAGGGTTGGCATCCCTTTCTGCCTATTACTGGCTGGGCCATCTCAGCCAGTGATTGCCCTTCTCTAATCCTTAATTGCCTTACCTATAAAGGCAACTCCTACCTCATAAAGATTTGGGGAGAATTGCGGAATCAAGGAGATCATGTACATGGAAGCCCTTGGCATAGTGTCTGGTGTATAGTGGACACTCTGTAAAGTTTCTCTTTTTTATCAAGTTAACTGTTTTCATTTTCTTGTATTTTCTGCCAAGCTTTCCTCAAGTCCAGATGAACATTTTGCACACTTAAGATCATGCTTTAAATTTAATTTTGTAGTCTGCTTGTAAACTTAACTATATCATAAGCATTTGTTTCAACATTCTCATAATTATTTAATGGTGAAACACTATGCCATTAAATCAATGTATCATTATTTATGTAACCATTCTTCTGCTACTGGACATTTTTTAGTGTTATAAATAATTCTGTATTGAATTCTATAGTCTATATTATTGTTGCTTCCTTTGTTTCTCATTTTTATTTCTCCTATTGAAGGTTGGATATTCTTCCATGTTTAGTTACTACTCCTATTTCCTCGCTTGAATTGCCTTCTCTTGACCTTTGTCCAGATATCTCTTAGCAACTGAGATTTTTTAATTGATGTGTAGGAAATCTTTACATAATGTAGACATTAACCGTTTGCCATTTTCCCCATTCCCGGGTGACATTTTAATTTTAGCTCTTTTTCTAATATACAAACTTTAAAGGTTTTATCTATCAGTCTTTGCATTTGTGATTTCTTTAACTGAGTTAACTGTTTATCCAGCAAACCCTGTGTGAGCATCCGATCTGTGTGACAGGTGCATGGAGAGGTATGGGGTAGGGGGAGTAAAGGATTGATTTCCAGAAGGTCTCAGTTAAGTTGGGGATACAGACATGAAAATGATCACAATGTTGCCCTAATAAGTTCTAGAACAGTAGGATTGCAAACAGTAGCAGCAACAGCAGTCGACTGAGCTATTTCTCTGTGCCAGGCCTCGTTCTAAGATCTTGCATACACTATGTCATTTTAATCTCACAACAACTCTGTGACTTAGATACTATATTATTCCCATTTTATAGATGAGGAGAATGGTCCTTAGAATGATTACCTGACTTACCCAAGCCCCAACAGCTAGTAAGAACTGAAGCCAGTATTTGAAATCAGCCAGTTAGACTGCAGAGCTTGCCTTCTTAATATTAATATTAAATTATTAATATTAATAATTTAAATAAATTAAATTAATAATTTAAATAAAATAATTAAAATATTAATATTAATATTAAACCAGCTCCCCAGGGTAGGGTGGTGGTGGTGGTGATGATGGCGGTGGTAGAGATGGAGTTGTACATCAAGGAAGACCTCCAGGAGGAGGTGAGTCAAAGCTGAGAACTGAAAGATGAAGACACCTCCACCACGAGGCAAGGGGTTGAGGAGGAAAGGACATTCCATAAAGAAGCAGCTTTTCCAAAGGCATGGAGCTACAGCTCCCTGAAAGATTGTAGGTTGGCCAGTCGCCTCAAAGTACAGGTGGCTCTTTTATTTTTTTATTTATTTATTTTTTTTTTAAAGATTTTATTTATTTAATTTTTCCCCCCAAAGCCCCAGCAGATAGTTGTATGTCATAGCTGCACATCCTTCCAGCTGCTGCATGTGGGACTCGGCCCCAGGATGGACGGAGAAGCGGTGCCTCGATGCGCACCCGGGATCCGAACCCGGGCCACCAGCATTGCAGCGCGCGCACTTAACCACCAAGCCACAGGGCCGGCCCGGGGTGGCTCTTTTATTACCCACATTTGATTTACCTGCTTATTCATCACAGGCTCCATCTTAGGTGCCGGGGAAAGAAGACATTCCAGATACCTGCCCCATGGAGCTTTCATTCAAGGTGGGGGAAATAGATAAGAAAGAAGATGTACTGAGTGTTTGTCATTCATCGCTGCCCAACAATTTAAAAAATTCCTTTCTACATTTTGATCATTCCTTATATCTTGAGTTCCTCCTTCCCAAAGCAGAAGCCAGCCTCCCTTGTAGCTAGGGTGCAGGTGTGTGACCTAGTTTCTTCCATCACACTTGGTACTTGAGCTACCAACCAGGAAATGAGCTATGTGGGGGAACAGCTGCATATGGGGCATCCCTTTTGCCGACCCGGGTGGTGGCCAAGGCAATGTGGTTCTGGAGTCAGTGACAGCGGCAGCAGCTCCCCCATCAGTCCCATTCTGCAATGTACTTCTTGGAGATGCACCTGAAAGCTGCATCTAGAACCTGTTTCTCCACCATCCAATGAGTCTAACGTGCCAAATAAGTTCCCTATCTACTTAAACCGGCCAGAGTGGACTCTGATGTCTGCAAGCAAGAATATTGATAGACGTGCAAACAGATAAATATACACACTGAGGAAACTAAGGGGTTGAGAGGTTAAGAGACTGGCCTGGGATCTCCCACTGTAGAGCTGAGATCCAAGAGATCCCAGGAGAGCGAGAATCCAGAGCCCAAACCCTCGTCTTAGATGCTGCTGGATCGACACCTCTGCCTGTAGGATCAGTCCTACAGGGCTTGCTGGCATCCTCAGATGATCATCCAGGCTTCCTCCTTGCACGTTCAGCCTGAGCAGAAGAGCACAGATTTTCCCTTCCCTTGTCAGGTGCACAGATTACAGGGGGCTGGGAAGAGAGCCTTTGCACATGGTGCCCTGCCCCCCCCACTCTTGATCTCTTGCAGGGACTGCTGTCCTGTCCTCTTCCCTTGAGGGCTGCAGTGTGATGGAATTGTGTGTTTTATTAACGTTATTGTCATGCAATTCTGTATCTATCTCATGGTCAGAAATAAGCTAGGGTGGAGCCTGACTGGACCTATATCCCAGGAGGGGAAGAAGGGGAGAAACAATCCAGAGGGTATGGCCTTGTGGTTTGGGCCATCCAGGCCCTGCATGTCTACGTGAAGGAGGCTGGCTTGGTGCCCTGGAAGCCAGGTTCATGCCCTTTGACATCACTGTTAAGACTAGCTGCAGACAATCTTCCTCAAGCAAATAGAGGACGATTGGCAACAGATGTTAGCTCAGGGCCACTCTTCCTCATCAAAAAAATAGAATTCAGGGCCGGCCCTGTGGCTTGGTGGTTAAGTGCGCGCGCTGCGATGCTGGTGGCCCGGGTTTGGATCCCGGGTGCGCATCGAGGCGCCGCTTCTCCGTTCATCCTGGGGCCGAGTCCCGCATGCAGCAACTAGAAGGATGTGCAGCTACGACATACAACTATCCACTGGGGCTTTGGGGGGAATAAATAAAAAAATCTTTAAAAAAAAAATAGAATTCAGAATGAAGTCACCTTACTTAAAAAAAAAAAAAAAAAGACTAGCTGTAGAAGGGAAAATGGGGGCTCCTGTCCACAATTCAAGATCTGCTTTAATTAAATCAATGTCTCATCCCTGGAGACAAAACAACTCACCCAGAGCACTGAACTGACAGCAGGGAAGTTGATCACACAGAAGTGGTTTATCCACTGGCGGGGCCAGCCAGTTAGCAGCTCAAGATGAGAGGTGTTTTTCCGTTGGATGCTTTTCTTTGAATTTTCCAAGGCTGGTGGATCAATAACTACAAACGGCTAAAATAAATTTCTGTCTCTTCTCCCCACACCTTCAGATGGGGAGATGGGCCTTTAGTTAACTCAGGTTCCCATCAGGTGTTACTGCTGTCCAGGACCTCTCTAGATCCTCACAACAGCCTTGTGAGGTCAGGGCTACTGTGCCCATTTCAGAGATATGGAAACTGAGGCTCAGAGAGGGGACGTCATTACCCAGAGTCTCAGAGCTGGTTCTTGGCCTCAAGACCTCTGTGCACGTGAGCTGTTTATTACAAACTGTGTTATTACCCTTGTCAGTTTCCCAGGCTAGAGAGTAATAATGATCCTCAGAGAGGGGAAAGTTGCTTGCCCAAGGTCACATAGCCAGCGAATGGCAGGGCTGGAGTTAGAAGCCAGCTTGTCGGATTGCAGAGCCCTCTGCCACGAGACCTCTTGAGCCTGGCCTGGTCCGGCCTCTGCATGCCCACCCTAGAAATCAACGGGAGAAGGGCTGGAGGCACCAACATTTGAGTTTCTCTGAGAGGCCCCTGGAGGGAGAAGCAGGCTCCTTCCCCATCCACAGTACCAAGGGCATCAATTCTCGGCTCTCGAAGGAACTACTCCCCAAGGCTGCAGCTCTATTTTTAGCCTTGAATCCATCAATAAATGGAGCCTGGCAGAGCAGGCAACTCCTGGCTGCCTGATATTAATAAGAAGAGAGAAAGGGACCATTTATTAAGCATTTTCTGTGTGCTGGGCATTATATGAATTGCTTCACATGGATTATCTACTTAAATCTTTACAACATTCCTATGAAATGACTACTATTATTATCATCATTTTATTAACAGGGAACATGAGGCTCAAAGAGGTTAGGGAACTGGCTTGAGGCCACACAGCTGATAAGCTGCAGAGCCAGGATTCAAATGCAGATCACACCCAGGAGTGTGGGACCTTCAGCAAATAATCACAACACCGGGGAGGTTCCGTAAGGCAAGAAGGAGCCACAAGCCTCAGCTGGTTGGTTGGTTTCTGTCACTGAGAACAGACACCTGGACCTGAGAGTCCCTAGATGGAGAAAGGCTGGAAGAGAACTGTAGGCAGAGGGAATAGCACAGGCAAAGGCAAGGAGGTGTGAAGTGCATGGTCTGTTTGGGGAGCAGCGAACAGTCTAGTGGGATTTGGGTTGAGAAGGAAGACGAGGCCGGGGCGTAGAGCAGGGCAAGAGTCTGTAAGATCTTGAATCCCAGGGGGTTTCTGGATTCTGGATTCTGGAAGGATTGTGAGTGGACGAATCACACTGTCATGTCTGAGCTTTAGGGTAGAGGATGGTTTTGAGGGAGAGGCTGGGAGAGGGAGACCAACAACCCTTCCTAATACCAATAGTGATAATAGCTCCTGTTTACTGAGCACCTGCTATGCGTGTTAGGCATCATCTGACCTGCTTTTCACAAGTTATCACCTAATACACGGAGCAGGTGCTCAGTAGATGGGAACTATTTGGAGGCTATTATTATCCCTCTTTTATAGATAAGGAAACTGAGCCTTTGAGCAATCAAGTGACCGCCCAGGGCCACTAGAATCGGAATCCGAGTCTGATTGATTCCAGAGACCCTGAGGCTACACTGGCCAGAGGGGAGGGTGTGTAATAAAAACAGTCTCAGGCAAAAAGACATCTATCTCGAGTCCAGGAATGGAGACGATAAGGTAGGCTTGAAAGATAATAGAGAGGCAGATTTTTTCTTTTGTTTCGTCCTTTAAATAAGTTTACTCACGGGCGGCCCCGTGGCTTAGCGGTTAAGTGTGTGCGCTCTGCTGCCGGCGGCCTGGGTTCGGATCCCGGGCGTGCACCGATGCACCGCTTCTCTGGCCATGCTGAGGCCGCGTCCCACATACAGCAACTAGAAGGATGTGCAACTATGACATACGGCTATCTACTGGGGCTTGGGGGAAAAAAAAAGGAGGAGGATTGGCAATAGATGTTAGCTCACAGCCGGTATTCCTCAGCAAAAAAGAGGAGGATTAGCATGGATGTTAGCTCAGGGCTGATCTTCCTCACACACACACACAAAATAAATAAATAAATAAATAAATAAGTTTACTCACACACTGAGTATAGAAGTTATGCCACTAAGGTTACAAAGGTTTTCTGGCACCGGAACTGGCAGATAGACTCAGCCAGGGGAAAGGGCATTGTTCCCGCGGGACAGTGGCTGGGGGAGAGAGGAAAGGGCAGGGTTTAAAGTCCTGTGTCCAGCAGCTCCGAGGTCCACCACGATCAGAGGCGCAGCCAGGCCTTGGGGTTCGGAGGCCCAGTAGCAAATAGCTGGTAGGTGAAGGAGGGGGTCAGTCTGAGTCTCAACCGCATCTGACATCTGACATCGGGGGGGTTAAAAGTCTCCATGGGGGTAGGAAATATACCCCCCCACACACAATAATGGCGGAATGTCAAAATGTCAAAGAGACACAAAGCCAATTTAAAGAGCTCCCAGCCACCAAAGTTGGCAAAGTTGGAGCCACAAAATAAATAAAGTAGCATTGGATTATAACTCAAGAGTATAAAATAAATATCCACGAGTCCATACTGATATAAATGAATCATTGAATAAATTATATAAATAAATGATGGAGAAGAGACAAACCTCCCATGTTAATTTATGTAGACATAACAAACTCCAAATAATTTATGTAGATATTCCACTCTCAAGGAGGTGCTGCATGAGCCCCCCTGCTTAGGTGTGGGCTGTGCATAGCGACCTCCTTCCTAAGAGTGCAGTGGGGCACGGGGGGCAGAGTAAACTTTTCAGTGGAGAAACT